AGGCACAGTTCTGCTGCCCTTGGGGACCCAGCAGCAGCAACAACTCCTTGTTCTTGCCTTGCCAAAAGATAATGCCATTTAAACAAAAATAAAATTCACACTTACACAGTGAAGTTAATCATGCAAAACGTTCTGCTCGCTGCTTCCTGCTCCCGAATGTCTGGAGCTGCCTTTTTCTTTTATAAAGCTTCACACCACAGATATATGAAGAGACACATCAGAGCTGTCAGAACATCAAACAGCTGAAGACACGCTGGAGATTAAAGCGGATAATACTCATCTCAGATTTCAGATAGCTAATATTCCCCCAACGGCGCTCATGCCATTTTTGGAACCATCCACTTTAGCCTTAATATGTAAGAAGGGGAATCTGGGATTATGTATGTGCCATGTATCCTGATGTTCTCCAAAGCAATACAAAAACGTCTGAAACAGCTTCTAAAAAATTTATATGCTAACTGCTCTTCTGTTTTATTGGTTCCGTCTATTTTAAGCTCTCAGGTATTCATATTGCTGGAAAATTGACTAGCCCGGTCCTCTGGTTCTCCAGCAAGAAATATCACAAAGCAGGCTTCCCACCTCTGACCTTGACAGCCCACTCTGCCATGACAAAGTATATCATGTCTGTGCTTATTCCGTCTCCGGCCCCTCCGACACAACTGCCAAAGGAGGTGCCAATTGTCAGGGTATTTCCTTTCTGCCAAGCGCTGCCAGCTTGGCGAGCATCGCATCAGCAATAGCCAGAGGATTGCTAGAACCTGGCCCACGGCAGAGTTTCAGTTTTAGCGGATCCATCCAGTAGCATATTATAAAACAGCAGCTTAAAGTCTAGCTGACTAATTAGGTCCCCAGCTTAGAATATTGATTTTGGTTTTAAATGCTTCTTTTCTCATCTTCTTTCCAATTCTGTCTCAGTCTAGGCTTAACTTGTGTAGCAATATTCAGCAGACTAAGCGGCTGTACCAGCAACTGCCCCTTCACACCTACCAGGCTTGAAAAATATTAGACAATATTATGTTCTCTCTAAAAGGAGATGATGATCATTTTCAGCGTTTCAGCTTAAAAACCCCTCAGTCCTGGCCCCGATTCTAGGAAGTACAAATAAATATTGGCAAACGCTGCTCCCAACTTTTTACATTGTACAACACGCACCAGCGTTGCAGCAACGGAAAAGAAAGAACGCACATTTGGAACAGATTTAATATGCATTTCACTGCTGCCTTCCAACTTGCAGAACCTGGTGCCTTGAATCGCAGTGTAACATTGCCACCAGGTGGGCAAACACTCGCCTCCGGCATGCCAGCATCCCTCCTTCGGGAGGGTTTGGCGAAGCTGGAGGGGCCCGTGTTTCAGGGCCCCCAAACACCCCTGAACAAGCAGGCATTGTTTGAACACCTGCACATCTCCCTGTACAGCTGGGAGGGGGCCAGCAGTGCCACTGGCCACAGTTCAAACCGTGACCTTCTTCGGCAGGAAGCCGGCAAAGGCTGGGGTTTCGTGTCCCAAAAGCTGGCAGAGGCAGCAGCAAGAGGAAGGGAGACGGCAGACTGAGAACAAGTGAAACAGGGTTTCAGAAATGTCATCCATCTCCCTCCCCTGCACACTTGTTCCAAAAGCACTCTTCTTCACCAGCGAGAACACCCTGCAGCCATCATGGATTCGGGAAGATGGGCGCTCGCTGCGGGAAAGACTGGGATGCTCGTTCAGCAGACAGCGGTACATCAGGAAACAGTTTTAGTATTCCGGGCAGCGAGGGCTGACCGAGGACCTGTCAGCTGTGTCACACCACACTGGTGAGCAAACAACAGCTTACAAAAACCTGTGTGAAGCTCCTCAAAGCTGTGATAAAACTGAAGGCCATCTAAAGCTTATTATTCCTTGCTGCAAGAGAGAACAATTAGGAAAAGCAGTTACCAGGCCCCCCGGGTTCCTCCTTTACCAAAAGCTGGTGGAGAAGTCTATTTCAGAAATCACAGTCTGTTTACAGTACAGGGACAGGGTTATCCCCAGAAGTAATCAAGGGAGCACAATCATGAAACATTTCACAGAGTAAAGCAACAACCTTTACAGTTGCAGCCAAAAGGATATTTTTTTAAACAAAAAAAACCCCAAAACAACAAAACAAACTGTTCAGCAAATTAGAAAAGAAAGTCCCTATGTTTGACATCTCAAAATTACGTGGAGATACACTCTGGGAATAAGTGAACTAGAATAAACTAGATGACTTTTAAGGCTTCCCGAATAATGGTGACAGGCACAAAATCAAACATCCCACACTGAAGTGCTACGGCACAATCTTTCACATGAAATCTGCGGGGCAGAAGAAAAGGCTACACAAACTATTTTGCACTTAAAATACTACCAGCAGAAAGAGGATGTCCAACTTTGCCTCGGTGTTGGCATTTCACCTCGTTGTCTTGCGGATAACTCATCACATCTACAGTGACTCCAGTTACTTCTTTGATCGTATGTGTGATGACATACTATTCCTACAGCAACCACAGGTACTATTAATGTCAGTTTCCCAGGCAGAAATAAAACAGCAAGGGAGAAATCAAGCTGCTGTTTAACATTACTTCATACACAACCAAGATCTTGGCCAAACTTCTTGCAGCCAGGACCAGTATTTTAAATGAATTTGCTTTTAAGTATATTTCTGTTCAGAAGGAAGATAAAATTATTCCTTATTCCAAGTGAAGTTTAAAACCTCAGAGGGCAAAAAAAAATATTGGGAATATAATCAGCTTTGAGTTTTGATGTTTCAATTAATACCGTTACCGCTATCATGCTACAAAAAGGTTGGCACTGTATTCCATATGGAAACAGTTTTTGTTAAACTCATGCAGCTTTACCTCACTCTCCCACTATTTACTTGTACAGCGCCTCTTGAATTGCAACTCTTCTGGAACAGGAAAGCCCAGAGGAATGGTTAAGGTTCTGTTATTTTGGCAACCTATCGTTGAGAGAAAACCTTGGAGCAAATAATTTGTCTCTATTTTACACTGACACTCTAAACAGCTGTTTTGAGAGGGATCACTCTCACAGTCTCTTCGGCAGGTAACGTTATTCTACAAGTGGTAGAACTTAAAACAGTATTCAAAGCACCAAAAGCCAAGCATTAGCTCCAAAGATGTACTTTATTTCATTATAAAGCAGATTGTTTAGGCATTATTTCTTTTTGTGAACATCCACTGTATGATCAGCAGGTCCTGCTCTGAGGACATAGCTGCTTGATAATAGACAAAGATTCCAGCACTAGACAACAAAAACACAGATGCATAGAACAAGCGCTGCTCAGACGCTGAATGGTCTAAACTGCAACCAGTTCCAACAGATGATATGACCAAAAATACAAGTACAGCTCCAGCCCAGCCAGAACTGTGTGCCCAAAAGTGGAGTCCTTTTTATTTCAAAACAAAATTTGTGTTGGGCTTCCTGGAAAAACAACAACAACAGAAAAAATCCCCAAAGCAGAACCACCACACCACGCTCCTTCCCTCTCCTTTTAAAGTCACTTTTTAATCTCCCCTTATTTCACATCAAAATTGTGCTGTGGCATATTAGCAATTTATGAAAGATAGAAAAATTGTTGAACGTAGTGTGAAATAATAGTGAGTGGTTGGTAATGAGCATTTCACTTTATCCCAATATTTTTGTTCCTTTTCCAATTGTCATCCTCACTCCAGGAGTTTCACTTTTATTGACAGATGTATCTCATTGCAAATTTGCAGATTTCTCACACATTTGGTATTTGAGCTCAGTGCATTAACAAGGGCTTCTGGGTGTCATCTGTGCTCCTTGGGTACGTAACAGAGTCCCATCACTCCAAGCAGAAACCGCAATTCATATACTGTCAGCCCAACATGCAAAAATGCACAGAATGCATGTTGATGCAGTGGAGAGAAACATTCCAACATTGTAAGTCCTCATTCTGATTTCCACGTTGTCCAATACTGATTGAGGAAAAGTGTATTTACAAGACTCGTACACAAATATTTGCATTTGGTCCTAAGCACCTGATTAGTACTGACAATCTAAATTAAAATGGAAAATTAAGTATTATTCTGGTCCATTAAAGTCTTTTACTGTAACTTCTCTAATTTGAAGGTGTGATCCTCAAAAAAGGTGTCCCACCACCTTCTGAAAAAGTATTTTTTACGCACCATTCAAGTCAGTGAGATTATTGGATGGAAAAGCCTTCTACATAAGTAACTATGAGAGTTATCTGACAAGGGTCTCATATCTAGATCTATAGAAACAGACAAGTAGCATACATTCTTTTCACATTCCCTTGTGGTAATGAGACTCAAAATTCACTAGATATGACTAGTCAGATAACATCCTGATTGCTACAAGACCAGAATTTACTATCAATGACAGAAACTTAGCTTTAGCAAAGAGCAGAAGCAGATTTGCATCTAAGCAGCCATAGCATCCATTTCTTTCCACTAGCATCAGAACTAGAAGTACTACCCACTAATGGCAATGAAAATTAGAAGGTTTTACAAAGCTGCCAGTATGACCAAGTTTCAAAGTCGCAACTTCTAGGCACAGACTCTGGCAGAATCTAGATTGACCTGAGTTTTCTGCTTATGGAGGAGGGGTGGTGCTAAACAACACATTCTTATCTTAAACAGAAACTCGACAACAGTCTCAAGCCAATATTCAACACCTGACAAGGTCTAGCGTAATAATTACAAAACAAAATATTTGGAATTAGAGATATTTAGTAAAAAGAAACAACTGCCTTCCAAATCTGCCATACTGAAAAAAAACCAAAAAAACCAAACCCGAACACAAAACTGAAGGTATTAAACACTGTTTGTGCTTACAACCATAATTACGGAACTTGAGCATTAGAGGGAGAGATTTTTCTCACCACTACCGCCAAGGAGCTGCAAAACCAAGTTAAATGGAAAAAAAATCCCTTCCAAACATTCAACCCTCCCCACAATTATTTATTAAAACCTGTAAAGGGTTCAGGTATGCTAATTTGAAAAGGGCTCAAAAAAATTTTGAGATTCATTGAACTAAATCCAATTCGGAAAGCTGATTACCCTAACACATAATTAAAAAACAATTTTCTTTAAAAAATTTTTTTTGCACCTTTTTCCTCATCAATTTATAAAATGCAAACAGTATGCTAGAAAAGTCTGAACATAAGGGAATGCGCTTTGGAAACATTAAAATATGTGTTCCTACAGAATGACATTATCAAGTTTACGTTACTTCTTTTCACCTGACTGGCTATATTTTGAGAATGTTCCTCCCCTCTTTCCTGGGTCCATGAGAAGCTAGGTTTAGAAAAGAAGAGCTCCCATACTGCCAACTTCACTCTGTTCCTTTACAAAAATTTCAAAGTACTGATAAATGATAGTGACAGCGAGCAAAATTCCAGTTCCAGACCCTATTGCCCCAAGGAAATCTGCCAAGACAGAGAGGGCGCCAATACAGAGACCACCAAATGCAGCAGCTGTAGGGATGTACCTGTAAAACACAAAATGAGAATAGAAAAGGTACCATTAGAGTTTGCTTGGGATATTGCAAATATACTAGGGCTAGCGGTATATGGGATGTATGGGAAATATCTACATCAGAGGCAGGTTGTTTTCCAGGAAACCTAAAGAGTTCCACTGAGAACCTAAAGAAGACTAGAGAGATAATCTAACCAGGTGGTTAGAAAAAAAAACAACGCAAGAATGAAACTAGATGAATTGAAAAAAAGTCAGTGGCGGAACACTCTCTTCTCTCATGGGTCCACCAATCCAAGATAAGGAACATGCAATAGTGCCAGTATACTACATAAAGAAATAAAAAGCACAACCCGACAGGAGGGGGGAAAAAATGTGAAGCTAAGAAGAGGAGGTATTACAGTCTACAATGCAATTAAGCACAAAGATTAAGTTTATGGCTACTAGCTCAAGTCATCTGCAGATGACTGAAATCTAAAGTTACAATAAAACTTCTGTAACACAAAGGGTGCATAAGCCCTACGCTGCAATCAGAAAGCCTAGAGACTGACCCCTGCCCACCTCTGCATCTAGTGGTTTTATGTAACTACTTATCTTAAAAGCAAAAAACAGTACGCAAGACATAACACATTAAAAGTTACACTAAAAAAAAATACTTGTGCGTCAGTTTCAAGTAGTAAATACACTCAAATGCTCATTATTAACTACCCTATAAAAAGTATAAAAATGCAAAAATGCAACAAATGGAGAACACAAGCTCCAAAATTTAAAACACGTTCTCTAATTGTAAGGCAAAAATATGCTGTACTGTGCAAGTCCAGTCATTAATGACAGACAATATTCTATGTCTCACGCATGTAGCATTGAAGCTGAAAGAACATCTGTGTTCTAGGGTCTAGAAAACAGAAGTCAAAGAAAAATTTGCAATGTGTTTCCCCACAACACTTTGCATAAATAGGCTGTGAAATGTGTAGCTCACCTGTTTAGTTCATGTACCATCGAAGTTTCTCTGTGGCCTCGCATTACCATTTGCTGTTCTTTCAATTGTTTGGCAACCTGTATTGAAACAAGGAATGGAGCAAGTAAGTTTAGTGTCACTTGCCGAGGCTGTGGAACTTAGTACTACAGAAAAACAGAAGCAAGACATTTCAGTAAATGGTGGTCGTTTGGGTTTGGTTATTTTTTTTGGGGGGGGGGGGGGTTGGTTGGTTTTGGTGTGAGGGGTTTTTTTTTTGTGTGTTTTTATTTATTTATTTATCTGAGTGTAAAATATCCAGTATTTTAACTTCAGATAGATTGTAGTCACAGGCACTTTTCCAAGCTGTCAATTACACAAAGCTTTCTGGATAATTCTAGTCCTATTGAGAAAAAGAAAACCTGGAAATTGGTAGGCTCTCATACACATAATTCAACTCCTGTTTTGCCACCTACCCTTCTCCTGGTTAAGGTTTAGTAGATGTTAGCACAACCATCCTATGAAGTGTCCACTCCTACGTTTCAGTATCCCACATTCAGTTGAGCTAACTACTGATTTGTGGGGCCATATTAGAAACAGTATGACGTAGAAAGAATCCCTTCTTGGAACATTATTCTTAAACTGGATTTCTGCAATTGCACAGGGTTACAACAGAGGCCTGCAAACATTTTACTAACAACCAAGGGGAACTGAAACTCCAGCAGGGGACGTTCTAAAGCTGCCTGTCACTGAATCTAACGTACTGAGAAAACACACTTTCAGATGACTGTTACCAGTTTTCCACCATATTGTGAACATTTAAGTAATGACTTAGCAATTTTTATTTTTGCCCTTGTTTACATGAACCTAAAATAATTTTCTTCAGTATCAGGAAAGTATATTAAAGTGTTAAAAGCTGTATGTTGGTTTATACTGAAACAAAAATCTGGCTATACATGGCTGCAAATGCCTCCCTGCATGCCTGACAACAAGCAGCTAGATGCAAGTCCAAAACAAGAGAGTGCTCACACTGTTAACAGTAACTGTGCAACTATTACGTATTTGTTAAAGAATGGATTAAACCATTCCATATGGCTGCCAAACTTGATTTCCTATGCAAAAACCACACAATACAAACACACCCCAATGACAACTATTTTCCATTTTGTTTTCCAATTCCAATTTCAGAATGATATAGCTGCTGACTATCAAATACCCTGTAGCAAACGGAAATTTTGAGAAGCTAGGCTCAGGTACATTAATGCACTGCACTATATTCTGTTATCAGTGCTCTCAAGTTAAAATTAACAACACGTAGTTAATCTTCTCCAAAGAGAAATTAAGAACTCTTGATGCCAGACATGGGTATTCAAGTCTTATGTAGTTAATCTTCCCCAAAGAGAAACTCTCGATGCCAGACATGGGTATTCAAGTCTTACCTGCAAGTTTTTAAGTGGCAACTGCCTTGCACACAGTGCATCTGTCATTTGGCACTGTAATTTTCTACCTTTCATGTTACCTTGCCTCCCCTCACACTGATCAGATGTTACATAGCATGTTCCAAGTGTCCTAATGTCAATGAAAGCAATTATTTGGGTCTTGTTGTTTTTGGAAAAGCAGTAAAGAAAACAGTGCAAAAATTACCCCCGTTCTGCCTGTATCCTCCCCTCTTGCAAAAAAAGACAAAAATTCTTAAAGCTCTTTCTGATCTAGAACCAAAGTCACTGTTTATACAAATGATAAATGTTACAAACAAGATTACCAGCATAATAGCTATTTCAGAAGAAAGTCAGTCTTATTCTTACAACATCCCATACATTTTCATCGTGTAAGCTTACATAATTTATCATTTTAGACTTACATCTTTGGCAGAGGAGCCAGAGACTTCAATCCATGTCTTGGAGAAGAAAGCACAAGAGCCCAACATAAATACAATATAAACAACTGCATGGACAGGGTCTTCTAACACCGAAGAAAAGGACTCTGGAGGTGACAGATAATAACAAAGTCCACCAACTGGATAAGCACGAGCAGGGCCTCCAGATGATGTGTCCTAGAAGGAGGAAACAAGCAGTCACCAACTTTCTCATGGTTTCTTCGCCATTAAGTTAAGCCTGGTTTTTTATCACCTTCATGTCACTGTGTATCATTACCGCTACAGCATCACATGAAGATTCAACTTTACTATGACAAGCAGTTTCTAAAGTGAAAATGGAATACAACAAGGAAGAGGAAAAATACTTAGGACAGCAAAGAGCAGCCCAAGTTAAAAGGTAAACGGAGACCTAACATCTACCCTCATCACAACAGGTCTCATACTCTACCATTAATTTAAACAAATAACTAATTTAGGAGTTTTGGTGTATATGACCACATGACCTCAATAGAGGCCATCTCTTAAAAAATGCACTTTAATGGTGCTCTTATAAAGCTACATGCAAGATTAGAAGGAATACTCACAGACCAAGTGCCCAGCAGGCTAACCAGTAAGTTGCCACTGAAGCGAGCAGAAAGCATCTGGGAGATGACATACAAGTTTGACACCAGTGCAGACTGAAGAATAATGGGAATGTTGGAAGTATAGAACAGCTTGATAGGGTAGGTGTTGTACTGGCCACGGTAGCGAGCAGATTTGATAGGAAGATCCACTCTGAAGCCCTGAAAAATTTTCAAAAGAAAGTCCCCCGTTATATCTTGACACAAATGCATACCATAGGTCACAAATCGCAAGTGCAAGGCCCTGACAGCAACAGAAAAAACCTGCGATCATTCTGTGCAAGTACACATACTCTACCCAGAGGGCTATCCATGCAAACACTTCTGCAAAGGGCCTGGAGGGCTGTAGGGCTGCCTAACAGACACATACAAGAAGGTATGAAAGACAGACATGAGAAGAAATCTGAAGTTTCAAGAAGACTGAACATAGTGTCCAGGAAAAGAAATATTAAAACTTTCTATATTCTTCAGCAGCTTGCTGCAACAAACAGCAAGAGACATACAGGCTTAAAGACTTCAAAGTATTTTCCAGCAAAAAGCAATTAGCATTTGGGTTTGGAGGTATTACACGTACACATTCATCTGTTGGGGTTTTTTTCAGAGACCAAAGTCTTTTGTTTCAGAGGTCAAGTCTTTTGTGTGGCTACCGTAAGCATGGAAACTGATTAAGAGAAGCTAGTGTCAAACGAACACACAGATGTTGCAGGTACAAATATGAGTCTTCTGAAGGCACTAGAAGGTGAAAATATAATTTCCTGTAGAAGGAAGCAGATTACAGATCTACTTCTGTACAAATAGTTTTAAAGTCCTCTTTAATCCAACTGACCTGGAAATAAATTACAATAGCAAAGACAAAGATGGTGGCAATCAGATTCATAAGATTGGGGAGATTCTGACGGTAAAAGGCCTCACGAAGAGCTCTGACTTTGTCCGTACGAGTAGCCAGAAGATGGAACAGAGCAATGATGGCTCCCTCAAATTCCATGCCTTGGAAAGGAAAAGAAAAACCAAATTAGGTGTCCTGTGATTATTTCCAAACTTCAGTGCTTTGTCTCACAGAATCACAGAATTTTCAGAGTTGGAGGGGACCTCTAGAGATCCTCTAGTCCAACTCCCCTGCTAAAGCAGGATTGCCCAGAGCACATTACTCAGGACTGCATCCAGGCGGGTCTTGAAAATCTCCAGAGAAGGGGACTCCACAACCTCCCTGGGCAGCCTGTGCCAGTCTCATTAGGCATACTTCAGAACTACAGGACTCAGAGTGGTATTTCTCCAAGTCTTTTTCAACTTGAGCACGCTCTCACAATTTTACTACTGTCATCCTCCATATCAGCTACGTTATTTCCAACATTTTTTTCAAATCTCCCTGTACTGGCCTAGAAACTAAATCACAACCCAACAAACAAATGGGGTAACTTTATTGTTCTCTAGAAACATTGGCATTCACCAAGTTCTTTCCCTCTTTCCTCCTCCTTCCAGGGAGCAAAGGAAAAAAAAAAAGAAAAAAGGGAGGCAGCATTCTTTCTAGTAACATTCACGGTGAGATACTAGTTATTGTTTGTACTACAGCAAATGTGCTAAACTCACTTATGTTTTCTACTATACAGCACCAGACAAGATCACCTCCTCTCAGGTTTGGAGAATAAGGTCTTTAGAGCAAAGACTAAGACATGCAAGGAGCAGAAAGAAACAGACAATATTTGCCAGTAAGTTGGGCAGCAACCATAATACAATGGCAGTCAACCATTATCAAGTTTTAATGGAGGCACTGTAAGAAATTCAAGTTGAGGAAATATCTTGCAAGACACAAAATTAAAAAGAAATGTCTTTGTACTTATACCTTGCATAGGAGCACTTGCTATACTAACAAGATTTACTACATAGCTAAGATGCCAGTGACAGCATTTGCCATTGAAGTTAACATCCTGCAAAAAAAAAAAGATTGTGCCTTTTTGTACAAAATTAAGGCTTTTCTACAAGATTTTTCTGACATTTTAATATTTTAAATTATCACTGCACTAGTCTATATAAAAATGTAGAGTTGGAATTTTAAAAGAATATGGGTGGGAAGCTGCTTGGTTTCTTAAGTTTAATTTGATAAAATAATTCAATCCTACTGCAAGTGCAGAAAATGGACTATGCCGTATTACCTCGCCCTGTGTTCACCGTGGTGGGACTGAACGCCTTCCACACAATAGTCTCACAGATATTGGTAGCAATGAAGAGAGAGATGCCAGAACCAAGACCGTATCCTTTCTGTAGGAGTTCATCCAACAGCAGAACTATCAATCCAGCAACAAAAAGCTGAAGTAAAAAAAAAAAGAAATAAAGCATTAGTCCCATGCCTTTTTAATTTTTGCTAAAACCCTAACTTTTATTAAAAGATAAAGAAAGACTATATATATGAGGAGGCAGGAACACTTTGATCTGTCTTCTCTGCATGGGGGCAGGCAGTCCATAAGGTTGATTTTTTTAATTATTTCAGAGGGAGAATAAGTAGAAAGGACTAGAAATTACCTGAATTGTGATAAGCAAGCAGATACCAGCACCCATCTCAGATGGATCTCCATACATTCCAGTCATTACATAGACAATAGACTGTCCAATGGTAATGATCATTCCAAACACTGCAGAATACCAAAAAAAAGTATTTATTTGTTCAGGAGATTTATGTCACTGGGCAATTAAGAGAAATATAAATCAATTGTTTGTAGAGAAAGTTGGGAAAGAATACATAAGTCACAGGATGTTTAAATTCAAGGGCAAGTTAAGCTTGTTGTCTGAAATCTGGCACTGAAAATATACACAAACACTTCAGAAACAAATGCACTTAGAAGCCAGCGATTTTGGTTACTGAAGACTGATTTAAGTATTGAAAACTCAGAGGGTGTTAAGATATTACCTTAGTAATTTATGATTTTTTTTTTTTCAGTAAAAAGATCAGTAAAGAGTGTGGTACAGCACAAAATAGCTAAAGAATACTCAAATTTTTCTAGAAGCCATTTATCAGGTGAGCACAGAGATCTCAGATCACAGAGATATTGTTGAGAAAGAACCATGATTGAAACTGCAAGGTAAAAACTACAACAGCTTAATCAATATTACCTTTTTTTAGGTTAACACTGACAACAGTTAAAAGACTGGGTCCTCACAGACTATATATTGCTTAGTTTATCCAATGAGATTACAGCAGCATTGCCAACTGCTGATACTTTTCCTTTACAAACCTATCTGACATTTAACAGCTAACAAGCCAGAGAGCAGTCAGTAAAAGACTGATGAAATACAGAAAACCGCAGCACAACATGAACACGCAGCATGACAGAAACCCATATATCTGTCTCCAAGATTCATCACGTGGTCAGGTTATACTTTCTACTGTTAGGGTTAGATACTATAAAACATCAGCTTTTAATATCAGCTGTTACTTACATTTCTGTGCTCCGTTGAAGAGAGCTCTGTCCTTTGGGGTGTCACCAACTTCAATTATTTTGGCACCTGCCAAGAGCTGCATGATGAGCCCAGAAGTGACAATAGGTGAAATACCCAGCTCCATCAACGTACCTGTCAGGCACAGAAAGCACAATGAAAGAAAATAAGGGGGTGTACCATACCCAGGCACCTTGGAAGTTCAAGGGTTCTTCCACCCTTTGCATCATGATGGAGAAGATAAAAACCTCCACATCTCCATAAATGTAAATCGTTTCAATGGTAACAGAAGCTTGTTAAAAGTCAGTTTGATAAGCTACTGAGAAGTACTGCATCACTTAGGATCTATGTTCACTGAAAAAAGACTTTTGCTGCCAGGAACAGCTTTACTTTATATAAAACATTAACATAAAGTGCAAAATAAGAACAAGCCCAAAAACGTTTTGGTCCAAGTTAAAAAATTCCCTCCTGAAAGACTGACCATACCTCTATTTGATGCCAAAATCACTCTCATCCAGTAGAAAGGATCTGCTGAGTCTGATGACATGATACCAAACAAGGGAATCTGAATTTCCAACCAACAGAGGAAAACAGGATTAAATTAGAGACTTCATAACATCCTTTAACCATTTCAGCTCTTCCTTAAAAACAAGGGAAAGAAACATACCTGGCAGCATACTAAGAAGATGAAGAGTGTGATAGCTGTCCATAGTACCTTTTCCTTAAACTGAATCTAAAGGGAAAAAAAACCCAACAAACCAAACAAAAACCAAACATGATAAAGCTGTCAAGACAACAAGATCTAGTCAATCAGCCATACTTTTACAGTAGCTAGAGTGCACTTGATTTTCTTGTGAAGGGACAAAGTACAGGACATCCTAAAGAAAATATACCTTTTATACAATATAACACTAAGGAAAATGAGAAAGCTTTATTTAAACTTTGATCCAAATAAACAAGTTTACACCAATGGAAGGTAATTCTAGTCCTTCCACAGAAATAAATCTTACACTTTCACAATCACAAGAATAAGCTTCTGCTGAGAAAAAAATAAAAATACAGAGAAGGTTATCTTAAATTCTAATCTAAGATTGTTTACTAAGAAGCAAAGATTTTCAAGTTGCTATTGTAAACTACACTAGTTTACACTCCAATATGTACTACTTTCAAGATCTCACTGCTATGGCATAACCATATCTGCACAACTGCGTTTACCAGCAAATATATTCTTGTACAACCATATCCCCAGCACAGAATGTACCAGACAAACACTTCACTAAAAACAACTGTGCCTAGAACTCCAATCTGCCAACACGAAAAAAAAAAAACGCAAATCCCACAAAGGCAAACTAAGCTGTAAACATTTCATATTACACAAATACAGACATATGAAGAAAATGTTATTAACTTACTTTCCGTTCTGGCTTTTGGATTTCAGGTAAGATAACACAGAAGGGCTTGATTACTTCAAGGAATTTTACTGTACGGAAATTAATGAAAAGATGAAGTGAACACACAGATACAGAGAACATTGGGAAAAGCTCAAGTAAAATTGAATTTGGACACACACTTTATATATTAGGTGTACCAGTTAACAACAAAGGTTTGTTGGGGTTTTTTAAAAATTAAATTATCTGTTCTAAATACACTTTACTAGCTGAACCTCTGTATAAGTAAAATAAGGACTGGCAACAGCAAAAAAAACTTAAAGAGTTTTCTCATTTTACTGAGTAGGTTGACAACACAAAAAAACCTTGCCATTGTTTTGCACGAGTTTGTCAATACCCTTGAACTTTTATTTCATAATAGCTTCTTCTCTAGCCTGATATTTGAGAAATACAATACCCGAGATAGTTTCAAGTCAGAGTTTACTTTTGGGCCATACAGCTTAAGAATTCCTACACACTATTCATAAGCAACAACTCAAGTTACTTTACAGAATGTCTCATTCAATGATCTCTTTCTAGTCAAAAGGACATATTCTTAAATCAGAAAAGTTATCTCAGTCTTAAAAAAACATACAAAAGAAAAGAGCAAAGTCACAAGTTCTCCTATGAGCAGCGAGATTTGATTTTAACAGTTAATGCTAAACTTCTTAACACAAATCTAAGACTGCACACACATGTTGGACGGATTCAAATTAAGAATTGTACAAAGATGCAGAAGAACTGAAACTACTGGTGGCTTTCCAATTCTTTGTCAAAGGCAGTCACTTCAGTGTTAATTTTGTAACTAAAACTAGCCATAAAAAATATTTATTTAACTTCAAACAATTAATTGCTTGAAAATTTACATTGGATGGTGATTTTAAACTTAAACCAAATCGTGATTCTCTCCACCTACAATAATATACAGACTAAGATGCTTTTCAAGCAGTTCTTCCTCGAGGCTTCCATTCACTCGGATTAATTCTGGACTGCAGATCACTGTTTATAGCTTACTCTGACCATGTCACTGATTTTTTGGCTTTAAGCGTTATGACCAATGTGACAGCCCGTCTCTCCCTGCCGCTTCGGCCTGGGATGGCCGGGACCGACAGTGCCCGCCCGGCGGAGTGGCCCGGGCACCAGGCACCACAGAGCAAGCAAGCTCATTTCCCTAGGAAGATTTGCCATAATCAGGAAATGGGTCTTTCACCGTTAAGGAGGGGAGGGAATAACCCAAAGGGAGCATCCAAACCAGAGGAGGGGAAACCGGCGGAGGGCCGGCCACGGAGGGAGTGCCGCC